GATGCGACTGGATCACGCGGCTTGCCCCAGCCGATGGCTGGCCGGGGGAGGACTATGCCGTACCGCAAGGCGACTCTGTCCATGTGCATCATTGCATGCCCTAGGATAAAATATTTGTGAGTGCTCGATTCGTGGATAAAACGTCGAGGATACGTAAAGTACTTACTAAATCGCTCTGGTGTGTATTTGGGGACTTGCTGCGGGTTGTCTGCCGCGTTTGTTGCGGCGAAAGATTCTGCGAGACAGAGTAAGAGCTTGGTTTCTCGGGGGCTCGATACACTCTCACCTTGAGGTTGGCCAGGCCTCGTGGAGTTGGGGTCTCGAATCATGTCAGTCAAGCTCAAGAGAGGGCGACGCGATGCGATGTGATTGGGAAACTCACTGGCTGAGGAAGACATGTCGTCAGCTTTTTGAGATGGAGACTGAGGCGCCATCTGTGGTTGAGTAAGTACGCGTTTGCGTGAATCGATTTGTGGTGCCCGTACCTTGAAGGTTATTGTGTGGTGTTGGAGTTGGTCGAACGGCGACGCTCTTTTTTGCCTCGACGACGCTCCTTCCTGCCTCGACCGGCGCAGCGTCCGGCGCACAAAACAATTCTTTTGACTGCGACGCTTCAAAATTTTACATCCACCTCCCACATCGTCTCTCCACTCGTGCGACCTTTCTCATCTCCGTTGATCGCGCGAGCCCTCGTCTGCTCGCCCATCGCTTGCTCGGCCGCGTCCAAGGAGGCTTCGACTGCTTGCTCACCCGCATCCGGCATACCTAGTCACCGACATGTGTCAAGACAGCAAGACGGACTCGGCCAACCCGGTCGAGTACTTCTACGCCACGCCGGACCGCTACCTGCCAGACCCCACGGTGTTGATCCGCAGGCTTGACCCTCACCAGATGGCCTGCCTCTTCATGGGTGGAGTCTTCAGCGACAAGATTCTCAAGGATGACTCGCTTGACACCTACATTCGCATGCGCACCGGCTATCTCGACTGTCCGTTTGGAACGCTCGGCACGTTCTGCACGCACGTGTTCCTCTACCGCCTGTGGATCGAGCGTCTCAAGGTCATGAATCCCCTCCACTACTACTGGCTGAGTCAGACTGGCTGCATCGTTCCACATCTTTGTCCTTCCCCCGGCTCGGAGCTTGCCAAGTGGGTTGCTGCCAGCGTCGCTCCTTACCATCTTCCTCATTCCTTCTACGTGGACAACAAGATCGATCCCAAGACCGCCTACCAGCCTCTCGTTCCAGCTCATGCCGAGGACTCGCGTTTCTGGCTCTTTCTCAGTGGTGAGCTCCTCGATGAGCTGCTGGGAAGCTGCAGCGATGACGACCTGGAGTCCAAGGATTCGGAGACTGAAGTCATGTCTGGAAGCGAGTGATCCGATCCGATCCGTTTCATCCGATGCTGTACGTCCTAGCCTTTCCATGAGCTTTTGATTTCGCATCGACTGACTGGACGTTCAGCGCATCGTCCTGCCTCTCTTAGTGGCGTCTTTGCGCCTTCACGCACCTTGCTGAACACCAGACAAAAGAATTCGACAGCTCCTGTACTGCACTCTGCCTTTCGGGGAGTTGACGGATTTTCAATGCAATGGATCGAGGAATGCATCCACAATGGTACGTGATCAAATCTCCCTGGACTGTGATCCTCGCAGGACAGCTAACAGAATATCCAGTCTCTTCGAAACAGGCCCCTTGCTCAAGATAAGATACTGCCGGCGTGCGTGTCGTCCAAATCTCGAAAAACAAAAAAATGGTTTGCGGAATTGTACGAGAAAGCATGGGATACGGATTCTGATCGAAAACACTACGAGGCAGACACTGATTTTGCTTTGAGATACCCAGGCCTAGGCAAGGTCATTGCAAAATCAAGCCAAAGTGTGGTGGCATCAACGGTAGAGAAACAAGACAGTCAGTCAATGGAAACTCTGCCCCAATCTTTCGCCCAGTTTGAATGTTTCTGCCGCTTGTTGCTTGTTGCTTGTTGCTTGTTGCTGGTAGCAATTACGAATGCTACGTGGAAGAAGACCAATGCAGCAACGTATATTAGCCAGCGTCCTGCTTCCCTTGCGGCTTGAATCTGCCTGTCGTCATGAATGGCAGCTCCATGGGCGGAACTGTAGCAGTGATGAATGCTCCCTGGAGCCGCTGTGATGCAGACTTGGAAAAATGGTATGGAGAATGGTCTGCTCCCTAACACTCCCTGCAATTAACACTTTCAAGTGTTAATATGGTCTTGTGATAGGTCTGTGCGCTGAAGCGGCCACGGTATTGCGCCTGCGCCTGCGCCTGCGCCTTCGCTGATGCACTGCTATTTAACTGTTGTTATGATTCTTTTCTCTCAGCGTCTGCTTTTCTCTACACACTCTCGGCGTCTGCTTCTCCACTTTCATCCTCAGCGTCAGCTTCAAGGTCACTCGGCAAACATAGCACACTTTTCTCTGGACCAGATCACGGAGATATACTCTTCGTCAAGGTAAGTCAGTCCGATGGTGTTTCTGTCTCGAATACTTCAAGCTCATCACACACAGATCATCATGGCTTTCCCAGACAGGAATCCTCACCACTCAACGCCGACGTACAACCAGCTGTATCAGCAGTATCACATCAACACCACCCAGTATAATCCTGGCGTTCGATTTCCGGCAGCCCCGTACCATCAACCTGTCCACCACACCACGAACACTGTCCAGCCGATGCCGGCAGTGCAGCAGCATTATATAAACACCGCCCGATATAATCCTTACATCCAGGCTCCGGCGAATCCCAACCCTCAACCTCTCCAGCAGGCCGCGAACCCTCACCTCACAATCCACGTCGACCAACCCATTCCCGCCGCGAATTTCAACCAACCGCCCAATGTGGTGCGCATCTGCGACTTGAAGCCTCGCCAAAAGATCTACCGCGCCAAAACCCTGCTGTGCGGCTACTTGGGACTCTCCCACACCCGCGAGCTCCAATCCATCCTCCGCGCCCACGAGGGTTTCTTCCGCCAATTCCAGGACGCGGAAAACCGCAAGTGGTTTCCAGCAGGCGACATCCGCGCGGCAGGCTCGGTAGCGCGCTGGGTTGAAAACCGCCTCTTCTCAATGTTCTTCGTCGTCCACGGCAGCGGCAGTTGGCGCCACAGATTCGCCCGCATCCGCCAGCGCGTTGGCTTCTTCCGCCAGCCTTGCCTCCAGGACTTGAGGGTGGAGAACAATATGATGCTGTTCCATGAGTATGACATGCATTATGTTGGTCAAGCGATGGGGGTTGTGCAGTTGATGGCTCGTTTGCCGCACTTGTTCCGGAACAGCACCAATATCGCGGCGAATGCGACGGGTGAGCCGGTCTTTGACGCTGAGGACGTTTATCGTGCGTTTTGCTTGCTGCGGTTTGCGCGGATTCAGAACTTTCGGCCGATGAACGATCAGCTTGCCACGCCAGTTCATTACGCACACCCGCAGGCGCAGCCTCAGTCGTGGGATGATGCTGCGAGCGTCAGCGACGAAAACGACGACATGGATGTGGATGGCGAGCAATACGGCACATCGGGAGAGCAAAGACCCATGGAGGCTCCGCCATCCTCTCCGCTCACGGTCATGGGCTCTGACGACGGCGATCAAGACATGGACGCAGGAGCCACCATGGAGGAAGAATTCGTGTCGCGTGCGGAGTATGAGAGGCTGCAGCGCTCCCACGAGGCCTTGCAGGAGCGGAACGGCCTGTTGAAACGCTTGAATCAGGCCTTGGAAACGCACAACGAGTTGTTGCATGACAAGGTCGACAGACTCGAGGCGGCTGCGCGGGAAGCTGCAGAAAGGGAGGAAACCATGGTGGCGGCGCGGACGATGGTGGCTTTGAAGGAAGGGAGGAGGGGATGACAATGTATGTAGTGGAAGATAGTGTTTGATTATTGCGGGCTAGGAGGTTGTAAATAAGAGGTGTTCATGGCAAAGAGTATTCGTGTATGTAAAAGGACCGTCCAAGAAGAAGTGTTCAAGAACAAGAAGTACCCATGAATGAGGAGAGTTGTGTGGCCAGAATGTGCTGTACTTACGGTCAGTGAAGTACATCTCTGAAAAAAGTGGGTGAATAAGTTTCCATCTTGTAGAAGGCCACTGGACAGGTCTCCTCCCTCTTGATCATTAACTTCCATCCTCCAATTCCAATTCTTTGCTTATATGAATGTAGTGGTGCGCGCTATCTTCGCTCGACAACTTAGCGAAGCCTCCGATTAGCCGACCCAGCTGGCACTGTGTGTGCGTGTCAATATCTCTTCTTTCTGGCTCTATGCGTCACAAGTCTCTCTCCTTGTTCGAATTCTCTGCTCTTACTTCAAGCTCTTCTTCAACAGGATTTGCGGCCCACGATTTCAAGAGCTCGGCATCATTGAGCAATTCAACGCCACTCCATTGCGCAGTGATGGTGGCGCCTTTGGGACAGCTGCCAAGGGGACGACGAGAAAGCTTCTGCAAAAGACAAAAGCAGCCGCAATCGATCGAGAGATGTCTTCTAGAACGGACCAAATTTATCTCTTATGCGTTTGACGCTTCTTTGTTGCAAAGCTCCGCCGGAAGAGTCGGCTACATGATGTGTGTCAAAACAAGGTGCGCCTCGTCGGGAGCATTCATGCGTCTTCGCTCCTCTAAGATAGTAAGAGTAGTCTTAATACTGGTACGAGGTAATATCCGAGAGCAGAGTGTAGCCAGGATCAGTCAACAACGATAAATGTCTGGGTCAGGGGCAATGCGCAACTTTTTCTTCTGTTTGCCAAACAAGAAACCGCTGCTGACTTGCCGATTCCAGGTCTCAGAAGGATGCACACAAGCCAAAAATACTTGTCTCTTTTCATCGCTATGCCTTGGCTCTCCACATTCTCTCACCATTAGCAAGTGACGCCCCAAGGGCACCCACCGAGTTCCCCCACGCCCCTTGGACTCCCGCCTCATCCTAGTCATAAACCTACTTGCCGGAATCGTTTCCAACAAGTTCCTACAACGAACCAACACCACGAATCGGGTCTGTGGTCTAGGGGTATGACACTCCCTTAGCAACATCCAAAACTGCTCTAGATCGTCTAGAATAGTCTCTGATAGCGCTCCTCGAATGGGAGAGGTCCCGGGTTCAATTCCCGGCGGATCCATCACTATCTCCTTCATCTAGGTGATGGGAAGCGTGGTGTTGAGGTTGTGGTGAAGATTTTTTTGCATTTTCGGTGCGAGGGGGTGGAGACGGGAAAGGGACCGAACGGGGACCGTGCACGGGCCGCCTGGGCGTGGGAGCGCGCTTCTTTTTGCGAGAAGCGAGTACGGACGAGCTGGCACTGCTGCGGGAAGTGCATGACCAGAATAATGGGGGTTATGAGCGTGTGGTAAGGTGTTGGGATAGGGGTTGGCGGAGGAATCGGGCGGATGGGTTTTTGTGCGTGGGAAACTGCGTCTTTTGTCCCATGGGCATACCGTTCGCTCTTGCCACTTGAGTACACCCCTTCTCAGCATCCAGAAGTGCTTTGCGCGTCGACTGCATCGTCAGGGGTTGTTATCGCCAGGGGGGAGCAGAGACGTCGTGCGACGCGCGGCGGGAATGTCCTGGCCGGCTGCACTGTGCGAACGCGCACCAACGCCGGCCATCAGAAGCCCCGCCGGGCCCGCAAAAATCTCAGCGCGCCTCGGTCTTCCCGCTCCGCGCGCGCATCAACAACCCACTCTCTTTCAACAACAGAACAACCAAACTCGTCTGTTTGAGCTCGAACACCCTGCAATTGCGCTTGACCGCCTCGATTGCTTCATTTCACAGCTGTGCGCGTCGATTGGAATCGCCCAGCTCAGTCAAGGAGCATTCATCTCTATCGACAGTCGCCAGCCGCCTTGATTCATCGACGCCGGGCGTGAGTGCAAGCGACTCAAAGAGCAGGATCGAATATCCGGAGGAATTAGCAGAAAGGGAAATTTCGACACTAGAACAAAGAGCTAAAGTACATCAAACGCACCATTGCACCGTCCGATTCCTGGCCCGCAAACGGACCATACCATCTCACCACCATGCCGACACCGCCCTCCCCCTCTCACCCTCTCATCCTGGACGGCGGGCTCGCCACAACGCTGGAAGCGCCACCCTTCTCACTTCCATTGCAAACGCGCCTCTGGAGCGCCGCTGCCCTGCTCACGGCGCCCAAAACCGTCCGCGCCGCGCACGCCGCCTTCTTCCAGCACGGCGCGCAGGTTGGCACGACGGCAAGCTACCAAGCCAGCGCGGCGGGCCTGCAGCAAGAAGGCTACGGCTGCAGTCTCCGCGATGTGGTCAGCGCCAGCGTCGGTGCGGTGCGGGAAGCGCTGGGTGACGGCGCGCAAGAGGTGGCGGGCCTCGGCCAGCGACAGGCGCGCTTCGTTGCTGGCAGCGTCGGCCCGTATGGCGCGTATTTGGCTGATGGCAGCGAGTACACCGGAGCGTACGACCTGTCGCGGGCAGGCTTCAAGGACTTTCATCGCGAACGGATGCGCGTGCTTGTGGATGAGGGCGTCGATGTGTTGGCGCTCGAGACGCTGCCGAATGGCGAGGAGGTCGCGGCGTTGGTTGAGTTGCTCGAAGAGCAGGAGTTTGCGGAGAGCGGCGTCGCGGCTTGGGTCAGTCTGTCCGTCAAGAGAGATGCGGCGGGCGACGTGACTCTTTGCGATGGCACGCCGCTGTCTGCTGTCTGCGCCACTGTCGAGGCTTCGAAGCACGTCGTGGCGATTGGCGTCAACTGTGTGCCGCAGGACCTGGTCACGCCAACGCTGAGGCTGTTGAGAGAGCATTCAACCAAGACGCTGCTTTGCTATCCCAACAGCGGCGAAGTTTGGGATGCAGAAGCCAAGGTGTGGAGGGGCGACAAGTCCCACGGCGCAAGCTTGGAGGAGAGGGTCAGAGAGTGGTGGGAGGCTGGCGCTCGCTGGATTGGAGGGTGCTGCCGCGTGGGACCCCGGGACATCGAGATCGTGAGACGCGTGGTGGAAGAGCTTTGGGAAAAAGAAGGAGGGAGAAAGTGATCAAGATGTCTTCATATTGTCATGACTACCACGCAACGCCAAACCATGCAAGGGTATCAAAGCTTAAACACTCGTCTCATCGCCCGAATCATTCACCTTTCCAGCCGTCAGCAAATTCTCGGCCCGGCGCGCGCCTCCGCTCAGTAACACCTCGCGCATGACTTCCTTCTCCTCGGCGCCGGTGCCGTCGCCAAACAGCTCGTCGACCTGCTCCAGAGTCCTGCCCTTGGTCTCGGGCACCAGCATGACAGCCCACACGGCGGCGAGCAGACACATGATGGCGAAAAAGACGTACGTGCCGAAGCCGGCTTCTTCAATCATGGTCGGCACAATGACGCCGATGATGAAGTTAGAGATCCACACCGTCGCCGTCGACAGAGCCACGCCCTTGGCGCGGGTCGAGTTGCTGAAAACTTCGCTGGGTAGCGCCCAGGTGAGCGGCGAGTATGAGACGCCGTACATGATGACGTAAATGTAGGCCATGGCAGTGGTGCCCCAGCCGGCGGCCTTATTTGCGGCCCAGTCGTGCGAGTACATGCCGACAAGGGCGCTCATGACGATGTACGGCAGTGCCATTCCGATGGCTCCCCAAATGGCAAGGGGCCGACGGCCGACTTTGTCGATGATGCAAAAGCAGAGCAGGACGGCGACGAGCTGGCCAATGTTCAATGTGCCAGAGAGGACGAGCGACATTTCATCAGTCTGACCGAGACTGGCAAACAAAGTGGGAGCGTAGTAGATGAAGCTAGGACCGTCAGCGAAGATTTCCCTTGGCAGAAGCACACCGGACATACCCATTGATTCCGGAAAATTGCTGGAAAAAGGCTACACCCACGCCAACTGCAGTGCGGCGCCAAGTGCGCTTGTTGAAGAGATCAGTCCAGGTCAGCCATTCGAGCTTGAGGCCCTTGGCACCTGGGTGGCGCTTCTCCAACATCCTCGCCTGGAACTCGACCTCGGTCATGATGGCCTGATATTCGGTTTGCACGCGGTGGTCTGTCTGAGGAAGGCGACGGAGCCTGCAGAGGCTTTCGATGCAGTCTTCTTCGCGGCCGACAAGACCAAGCCAACGGGGGCTGTAGGGGAAAAAGTGAATGCCGATACCGAGGAAGATGGCGCTGACCATTTGCAGGCCAAAGGGGAGGCGGAAGGAAATGTCTCCCTCGAGGTATCTGCAACTGTTAGCGAAGAAAAAGGAGGAGTCTGTCAGTCTTACTGTGTGCCATATGAGATCCAGTAAGCAATCACCACGCCGAGGACAATGGACACCGATTCGAGGACAAGGAGAGCACCGCGGAGATTTGGTGGGGCAATTTCTGAAATGTACAGAGGGGCACCCTGGTTTGTTAGTCCAAGCCAAAAGAGCGTCATTGATTTACTTACCAATGCTAGAGTTCCAACGCCAATGCCACCAAAGAAGCGTCCAAAAGTGAGAACGGCATAGGTTGGAGCAGCAGTTTGAATAACGGCTCCGATGCAAAAGATGACGACGACGACGCTCAACGCCCACTTGCGGCTGATCTTGTCGGCGAGCCACGGCATGAAGAAACATCCCAAAAAGGCGCCCAACTCCAGCATTGCTGTCATGAGTCCTTTGTAGAAGCCGCTGTTGATCTCGGGATATTGCGCTTTGAATTGTGGCATGACGTTAATAACGGATATCACGCCTTGGTCGTATCTGTTTGGGTCAGCAGAAGTCTTGTGCAGGGCAAAATCACACGTACCCAAAGGAAAAACCACCAAGAGAGGCAAGAAAGGCAGCTCCGCAGACAAAGGGCGAGCCAATGATGCCGCTAAAGCCATCGGGACCGTACGCAACATCTTCACCAACAAAGTCGGGGATATCAGACGTTGGAAGTCTTTCGACGTGAGTGGCACCACTCTCGAACTCGCTTTTGATCTCCTTGTCGGAGAGCACACGCTCCGGCTGCATTGTGGTTTGAAAGACGGCGGAGGAAGAAAAGTCTTGATTGTTTATTGACAAAGGATTGAGAGGACAGTCAAGAGAGACGGGGAAATGCAAGCGTATTAAAGGTACTCGACAACGGTGGGTCTACAAAGCATGTCCAGATTGTGGCCATGGTGGATGCCAGCAAACCGGAAGACTGCCTATTCGGAAGCACAATCCCGTGGAGACAGCTCGGGAAACAGCCACAGCCGTGGGATGGACGAGACGGGCAATTTGACCGACAAGCAGAGGCGTCTGGGGCAGACGTCTGCAGCAGGCCAAAAGAGGGCGAATGACGACGTGAAGCGAGAGAGGCGGTCCAAAGACGCGCCGAACGCCCGCCGAGCCAGCCAATCAGCGACGCCATGCTTTTCCCCGACGGTCGTCAGCGGCGGTCGTGTTTCCTTCTCCACACTCACCCCCAAGACCTGGAGAACTGGAGCCCCAGACTCCACAAGCCGCCGACGGGCCTACTTTGCGTAATACTCGCCTTAGATTGGCCCTTGGCTCCCTGTCGGTGCCACCGCCGCGTCCGCAGCCAGACCACGTGAACACTCGTCGTTTCTTTGACGCCCGGCCTGCCTGTCCTCTCTGGTCTCTTCCAATCGCTTCTCCGAGTGCCGTCGTGCAGTAGTCTTGTATGTGGACGGGCAGACCCGTCGAGACCAGGCCGTTCCCGGTACCAAAGCCCCGACAAGCAAGGAGGCTCAGAATGAAGCATATCTCGCGCAACGTCATACCTCGCCTCCCACCCATCCTTGTATCACCTACTGGGTTGTCCGCAGCAACACGGACTTGGATTGGCTTATGCCTCGTTTGATTCGTCCTCGGTCTATGCCTCTACCTGAACTCGGCCTTTGCTCAACCAAGACGGGAGGAGATCAACGACCGCTAGCCTGTTCAAGACGAGTGTCGACAAGGATCTGTCCATGTTGTGCGGCTCTAGACTGCGACCTTTGGCCTGCAAAGTCAAACTCTACGCTTTGCTTTTTCAAACAAGCCGTGGTGCAATTGACCAAGGCAGCTTCATCTACTTGGCCTCCAGGACGCGTCTCGTTGGCACGAGTTTCCGATCGAATTTGTCTCCACTCAAGCCATCATTTTCAGGCCTTGCAAAGCCCCCGGCGGGACCCCTATTCCGGACTGTGCGTCCTTGACGGCTTATGATCG